GCCCTGCCCTGCCCTGCCCTGCCCTGCCCTGCCCTGCCCTTCCTTCTTCTTGCAGTACTGGAGGTTGAACCTAGGGACCTTCCCACCAAGCTACATTCCCAGTCCTTTTGTATTTTCTTATTTTGTGACAGGGTCTTGCTAAGTCACTAAGTTGTCCAGGCTGGGTTGGAACTTTTGATCCTCCTGCCACAGCCTCCCAAAGTGCTGGGATTAAAGATGTGGACCACCATGCCCAGATGAGATTAGTGCTCTGCACCAAGTAGTCCTTCCAATGCCATTATCTCAATGTGTTTTTGTGCACAAGTGATTCCCAAGTCAGGAACAGACAGCAGGTCATTTACAACAGCAGAGCAGCTGGAGCATGGCCCCCTAGGGTGCTTTACAAGAAAATGTTCTCAGTTTGGTTTACTTTTAATTGTGCATCTATGTCGCTTCCTTACGCTGAGGTGTCAGAAGTTGGTGCTCCCCTTGGCCCTGAGGATTGCCGCATACAGGCAGTGTCACGAGTCAGCACATGGTGTGACACCGGCCAGGGTGGATCGCCTTGATTCTGTCCCAGGCACTCACACACCTGACTTTCATCCGTCCATCCACTCATTCACTGGGAAGCAGAAGGAATATCATCTTTGTCACAGGAAACCTCAGAACTGTAACCAGAGAGCAGGTGGATAAATATTTATAAAAGGATTGAGGGATCACAGGTGTTAGTGAGGGCTGTGGTTTTTATTTTCTTTGTTTTCTTTCTAACTTATAAATTCTAACCCCTTTTAGCAGTGACCTTTTCCATGCCCTTTCTTGAGTCACTTCTTTCATTTTTAGGACAATTGCCAGCTGCTGTTCAACCCCCGTCAGTCTGACTATGACAAGGACGAGGTTGGAGACCGCTGTGACAATTGCCCCTATGTGCACAACCCTGCCCAGATTGATACGGACAACAATGGCGAGGGAGATGCCTGCTCTGTGGACATTGACGGCGATGGTCAGTGCCCCACCAGGGCTTCTTCTCAGGCCCCAACTCACTGTGGAAGAAGTCAGGGGGCTGTGTCTCCTGAGTGTGCACAGACTGGGTTCTTATTATTTGGGGTTTGGCATCTGAGGGGTCTTGGACCAAAACTGCTGGGAGTATTTGTGAGGGTTGCTTTTTATTCTGAATTTTGGGGAAGGCTCTTCTTCATCTACCTGCCCATAGGAGGTGAAATGGTTCCTTAAGTAGCTCAGTGTGCACAGGGGCCCACAGCCCGGGTCTCCTCTTCTGGTGCAGCCATTCATGGCCTCCTCTGTTCTGAGCCCCAGGAACCCTGGCCCCTTGCCTGTTCAAACTGGCTCTGAGAAAGGTCTTAGGGGACTTTCTGGGACCTGGGGCATTTAGGTCTGTGTTTGTTGTTCAAATCCTGTTGCCCAGCTCCTGCCTCTGGCGGAATGTGAAGGTGTGCCATGCGACCTCTGCACCTCTCCAGGTTGACACTTTGCCTGAGACCTGCTGGCCTCCAGGATGGAGCCCAAGGCCCAAAACCATCCCACCCCCACCCCTGGTTGTTCTTTCCTCAGGAGTTCAGGGATCAGGCAAGCCCTGCATAGGCAGCAGCTGATCAGGCCTTCACCTGTCTCCTCTTCCACAAAGCTAATCGTCTTCACATTCTGACACAGGTTTTTAAATTATTATTAAGCGAAAGTTTGGCTGTATGTTGTTTAACATGATAGGAGAAGCAGCACCCCTTTCCTAAACCCAGTCTATTGCTGCTGTCTTTGAATGTCAACAGATGTCTTCAATGAGCGAGACAACTGTCCCTACGTCTATAATACTGACCAGAGAGACACAGACGGTGACGGCGTGGGTGACCACTGTGACAATTGCCCTCTGATGCACAATCCTGACCAGGTGACAGGGCACTTGCAAGCAGGCCAGGTCCCGGGTTCTGGGCAGTTATGTAGAGGAGGTGCCTTTGTGACTCCCATCAGCTCAGCCAACACATCCTGGCTTTTCAGTAATCTCAGTTGGAAACATTTATGTATCTCACATCTTAGCACAGTTCTGGCATCTCAGTGGCCACAGGCCGGGTGCCTCTCATCGTCTACAGGAGATTGGGTCTCCAGGTCGTTCTCTGTTTTTTCGTGATGTGAGCACAGGTGTTTGCCTCGCCCCTAGGTCTGCCATGGAAGAGACAGGGAGAGCAACCTACCACAGGATGCTCAGGGTGCATCATGGCAGCTATGTAAAGAAACTGCCCTGTATGCTATTCACTCTTTCCTGGGAGGAAACCAAACTCTCTTAAGTGAGGAGCTCCCTGCTGGGAGGCAGCACAGGCTGGGAAAATCAGGCCCAGTGCTGGTGAGAACAGTGGAGTGAGCTTGGCCCAGTGGCTTCTTTGCTGAGGATGAGGGAGGTGGCTGGCCAGTCCAGCCAGCACATCCTCAGGGAAGGGCTTACCTGCCTTTCCCTTTGCCTCTGTCTCCCAGATGGACCTGGACAACGACCTCGTGGGAGACCAGTGTGACAACAATGAAGATATTGATGATGATGGCCACCAGAACAACCAGGACAATTGCCCCTACATTTCGAATTCCAACCAGGCTGACCATGACAATGATGGCAAGGGTGATGCCTGTGACCCTGATGATGATAATGATGGGATCCCGGACGACAGGGACAACTGCCGACTGGTGTTCAACCCTGAGCAGGAAGACTCAGATGGTAAGTGCTCGCCCTGGGCTCCAGCCCTGCAAGGGCCCTAAGCACAAGGGTTCCCAGCCTACCCTACCCCTCTGTGTCATGTGGTGCCTGTCTGTGCATGTTGGAATGAAGAAAAATTCAGGATCTTTATGATTTTCAGGGCTTTGACAATGTCTTAGAAAAAAAATTTGAGTGTATGAGGCCAGAGAGGGAACAGGAAGGAATTAGAGGTAGAGAACACAGAATGGAGGGGAGTGTGAGTAAGGAGTAGGATCCATGTGAATAAGTGGTGCTCAGCTGTGTAGGGTCTTGAGGACACACTGTGCTCCTTCCTGTATATCCATATCTTCGAGCAGTGAAGAGCACTTCTGTGACAGCAGGGGGCTATGTGTCGGTGGCTGACAGGACAGATTTGCTGTCCAAGCCCTTTAGTGGGTGGAAATCAGGAGTTCTGGGTGCTGAGCCAGCAAGACTCAGAAGCTCTGGGAAGTCTCACTGAGGTCCGATAGGAAAACCCCAAGCTTGGCTGGGCGGGAGAGCAGAGGAGCACAGCTTCTGCTGAGGCCCTGTGTGGAAGTGGCTTGCAAAGAGAAGGAGCTCAGTGTTTCCCAAAAGTCCTTGTATGTGGTCATGCCCCTCCAGGCAGTAAGGGAACCATGTGATATTGAGCACAAAGACATCAGTGTGAAAAAAAGGACTGGGTAGCTAGGGTGTCAAACTTGAAGTTAGATTTGGTATCTTTTCCTTTCTGTGAAACAAGTGGACATGCAGGGGCAGGTTGACCACACTGAGCTATATGATACCCAGGGAAGTAGTCCTAGAGGTCCCACACACCACAGTCCTCTGCAAACTGGTGCCATGTGGCCATGCAGCCACAGCCCCCCTGGGGATCCAACCAGAAGTCTCCTAAATGAAGGAGTCCAAATTCCTCTAGAGAAAACCAGTTCAGGGTAAGAGTTCTAAATGCCAAATAGACTAAAAGGGGGTGAGGTTTTTAAAGGTGGCAGAAGTATCTACAAGCTCAGCTGGACATTGTGTGATACGTCTCCTCCCTGGTCTGAGCTCAGGATGAAGGAGTAGTGGGTCCTGAGGGTTTCACTGTGAGGTCCCTGCTGGGCATTTGCCATGAGCAGACATGGGGTGGATGGCATGGCAGATGTGTGGAGACCCCTCGGAGCACTCAAGATGAGTGCCTCAGAGACTAGAGTATCCGTCTGTGCATCACTGCCAGGGCTCAGCCACAGGCTTCAGAGACCATGTACTCTCTGGTCTCACACTACAGAGGCAGATGACAAGCCACCTGCTCTATCTCCTGGCTTTTGCTTATTTCTTGCAAATAGGTGATGGGCGAGGTGATATTTGTAAAGACGACTTTGATAATGACAACGTCCCAGATATCGATGATGTGTGCCCTGAAAACAATGCCATTAGCGAGACTGACTTCAGGAACTTCCAGATGGTCCCCTTAGACCCCAAGGGGACCACTCAAATCGATCCCAACTGGGTCATCCGGCACCAAGGCAAGGAGCTGGTTCAGGCGGCGAACTCAGATCCTGGCATCGCTGTAGGTGAGCCTGAGGCCCCAGGAGGTGCCCCTCAGAGTCCACAGAGGTCTGTGGGACCATGCCAAGGGGCTCAGGGGCCTTTGTAGCACTTCATCCTTCCTTGCATGTGAAACTGTCAGCCTACATAATCTCGGCACTAGAATCAGAGAGCTTGTGCCTGTCTCTCAAGTGTCACATTCAGCTAGCTGTTTCACTATGTGGACTTGGGCTACTCAGTGTTATTTCAGACAGTGTAAAGCTCTAAGTGGAGTCTAAAAGCATTCTGTAAGTTCCATCCCTCTCTCAGTAAAGAGCTTGGGTTAGGTGCAAGAGAAGACCACTTTTCCCATAATCCAGGGTCCAGTCTGGGCTCCTCTGGGGGGTCCTACTGATGTGGAGGCCACATGTCCCTTGCACCCAGGTTTTGACGAGTTTGGGTCTGTGGACTTCAGTGGCACATTTTATGTGAACACCGATCGGGATGACGACTACGCAGGCTTTGTCTTTGGCTACCAGTCCAGCAGCCGATTCTACGTGGTGATGTGGAAGCAGGTGACCCAGACCTACTGGGAAGACCAGCCCAGCCGGGCCTACGGCTATTCAGGCGTGTCACTCAAGGTAGTCAACTCCACGACGGGCACTGGCGAGCACCTTCGGAATGCGCTGTGGCACACCGGGAACACCGAGGGCCAGGTGAGGCTGGTAGCTGCCATAGGCCTGGACACTGTTCTGCCACCCAGCTCATCCCAGCAAGGCTGCCTCTGCCCTCAGTGGTTCTAACTCAAGCAGCAATTGTTTAAATTATTGTTATCGAGCACCTATTTATTAAAGCCAGCATGCTTTGTGATTTTATAAACACAGTTGGAAAATATGTCTTGCAGATTACACATATTTCTGCTCTGTTCTAAAGATAGGGGCAGCTGGGTTTCAAAAAGTTTAAGCTTTGCCTGTGATCATGGATTGTGGGAACCGATGGTCTTGACTCTGGACCCTGTGTCTGGGCCAGGGCTGCTCTCAGAGAGCTGAACCACGGTCCCACTGATCATGGACTTCGATGGCCATGTGACAAGTTCACGGGGACAAGTCACACAGTGCTGTGACAAGTTCAGAGCATAGTTTGAGAGTCAGAGTCTGTATGTGCTGTGTCCATATTACCATGTGTCAGAGGGCCAGGTGGCTGAATGCAGGATGACCTTGCAGAATCATGGTTAGTTTATACCCATGTATAAACTAACAGGCTGTGGTGGACACTTGGGATAAAATGATTCCAGGGTGGTGCTTTTCCTCAGGTGAGGACATTATGGCATGACCCCAAAAACATTGGCTGGAAGGACTACACCGCCTATCGGTGGCACCTGATCCACAGGCCCAAGACAGGATACATGAGGTAAGGGAAGCTTAATGCCAACCACATCTATACTAAGTGATGTCTTCCCATGGGAGGGCAAGTTTGAGCTCTAATACACAAATTCTGACTTTGATGTTCTCTGATTCTTCATCTTCTAATGGGTTCCCTTTTCTATCTTGCATCTCTACTATGAATGACTTATTTAAAACATAAAAACTGCTGAAAAGGAGAAAATACAATTTGTCTTGTGGGGGCAACATTGACGGTGATAGGCACCTGACCTCCTCAGGAATGCTGCAGGGTCAGGGCAGAAGCCAAGGTGGATTTACTGCATCCTTGCAAAATCCACCTGTGCTTCATCTGGAGAACAGATCCTTCTTATTCCTGATGTGTAAGTGACTGGGCTTGCAGTCACATGTGTGACTAAAACTGTTACAAATACCAGGCAATGGAGTTTTGTGACCTTGGCCTAACAGCATTTGTAATTGATTTTGATTAAAACAAAAACGAACAATTTAAAGACTTCCCTTCCCTTCTTCCTTCTCCCTTCCCTTCTCTTCCCTCTCCTCCCCTCCTTCTTCCCCTTCCCTCCTCCCCTCCCCTGGCCTTTGCTCTCTCCTGCAGAAAGTTAATAAGATTCAGTTGCACCAGTTGAATTCTCTCTCTCCCTCTCCCTCTCTCTCTTCTTCCTCTTACTAGTGATTGAACCCAGGGCCTTGCATGTGCTAAGCAAACACTTTATGTAGCTTTTCTTGGCTTCCTTATAGATGCCAGGAGTGTGAGGTTGTTGTAGATAGAGAGTGTGTGAGTTGTGGGTGTGATGTCCCTTGGACAGGCCCCATGTGTTCACTCATGAGCTTGGCTCCCTGGAGTGTTCCCACTTCATACTGAGCAGGGCAGGAGGGCAGACCCCTGTCCTCACAGAGCCTTGCTTGTGAGGAGGACATTCCTCCAGGAAGAGGAAGGGAGCCTGTCCCCAGAGGCCACAAAGGAGTACCCCTCACTGTCCACTCTGTTCCTTGGCTCCTTAAGGCAGAGACTGCTGTAAGCAGCATTGATGGTTGTCCATACACTCCGAGTACAGAGTGGCAGGGATTGGAGGAAAGAAGGACCCCTCAGGTCAGTGCTGTGCAAGGCTTGTGAGGGGAGAGCAAGCCCAGCTAGGCCTCACAGAGCCTGAGTGAGGGGTGAGGTTCAGGCCCCTCTGTGATGGACTGGAAGTGTGGCTTTGTGGCAGAGCGCTTGCTTAACATGTCTGAAGCCCCGCACTCCATCCCCAACACCAGGTAGAAAATTCAAGAACCCTCTTGGCCAACTTGGCGTCCTGCACAACCTGAGTAACCTGCATCCCTGATTAATGTGCTTCACAGAATTCAAGCTCTCTCTTCCCCACCCCATGTTTTCAGAGTCTTAGTGCATGAAGGAAAACAGGTCATGGCTGACTCAGGACCGATCTATGACCAAACTTACTCTGGTGGGCGCCTGGGACTGTTTGTCTTCTCTCAAGAAATGGTCTACTTCTCAGATCTTAAGTACGAGTGCAGAGGTGAGTACAGAGGGGGCTTGCAGCTTGGGCCTCCTTCCTGAGGTCTGGACAAGGACCCCAGGTGTCACCCCATGAGTCACAGCACCTGCCTCTTCCTAGCAGAGGCTGTGTTTGGGCATTACACATTCTATTTTGTTTGTTAATTTGTTGTTTTAAATTGAAACTGAATGCTTTTGAAAGAATAAACACTTTCTCTTTCCTTTTTTTTTTGAAAGTTTTGTTTCTGTAACACACTTTGCTAACAGTCTAAAAACATGATAGCAGACCATTATTTCTAAATCACATTGCAACTTCAGCCACAAATTTGATTAACTCCAGAGTGGTGAAATTTAATGCTTCTTTTGGATATTAAACTATATCGTCAAGTAATTTTCAGAACACTGATGTTGGTTGTGACAGACTTAAGGAAAAACAGGAACAGAAAACAAATTGAATCACTCAATGAGCCTTCTCCAGAGTTGAGAAATCTTAATTTAAAGAGAACTTGAAATTGAGGAGAGATAGGAAGAAAGAGCAGTTCAGAAGGAGATGGAATGCAGTAGAAATAATAAATAGATTGCTCAAGGTGGCCTTCTATCAGAATTCATGGGGCTCTAATTTCTACTTACCATGTCCTTCTACTTTGGGGGTTACTCTACCTGGTAGTTTTTTTTCTCATTTTTTGATTAGTACATGTTTGCAGTACATGAAGTTTACATTCACCTTGGGAGTGGGTACAGGTAAATAATATAGCTCCTTTCTTTTTGTAATTCTTTTCCCCTTTCTACCTATAGTACTGCCCTCCCTGTTCCTCTAAATTCCCTTTTCCTATTTTCATTCTTATTGTTATTACTAATCTTCTTTCTTTTTTTTGATACCAGGGATCGAACTCAGGTTCTTGCACTTGCACAGCAGGTGGTGAAACCACTGAGCTAAATCCCCGGCCCTTATTTCATTTTTAAAACACATAGTTATATTTGTTGAAGTTATTAGAATCCTGTACATGGCATAGCTTAAATCTACTTACTGCCCCTCCCCTCTCCCTCTGTCTCCTGGATCCCTTCCCATACGTCCTTTTGATGTCTTTTATCTGACCTTTATTGTGCTCTTTGTACTTTGCCTTACTCAAATGAGGTATACTATACATTATTTAAACCAGTGTGTCTGATTTATTTCACTCAATATTATATTTTCCAGATGCATCCATTTTCCTACAAATGTCTCACATTTATCCTTCTTTTTAGCTGAGTAGTATTCCATTCTGTACAGATACCACATTTTCTTTATCCATTTGCATGTTGATGGATATACTGGCTGCTTCCAGCATTTAGCTATTATGAATTGTGCTGTATAAACACTGGTATGCATATATTGGTGTAGTGTGATGTTTTAAGCTCTTTGGGGGATAGCTGGATCATATGGAATTTCTAATTTCAGTTCTTTGAGAAATATCCATACTTATTTCCATAGTGGTTTTACTAGTTTACAGTACCATCAACAGTATAGTGAGGCTTCTTTTTCAACACAGTGTTTCTGGCATTTGTTATTCTTTGACTTCTTGATGATAGCCATTATTTTGTGGGTAAGATGGAATATTAGCATTGTTCTAATTTTCATTTCCTTAATGACCAGAAGGGTTCAACATTTTTCATATGTTTATTGTCCATGTGCACTTCTTTTCTGAGAAGTGTCTGTTCATTTCACTTGCCCATTTCTTGACTGGGTCTATTTTATTTAATGATTGCTCGTTTATTTCAGGTGGTCTAATTTTTCTTTTTTGCATTCTTTATGTATTCTCGATATTAGTTCTCTGACTGAAGGATAGCAGGCAAAAATATTTCCCATTCTAGAGGTTGTCTCTTCACTCTACTAATTGATTCCTTTGCAGGGCACAAGCTTATTAATTTCATGTAACACCATTTGTTGATTCTTGATATTATTTCTTGTGCAATTGGACTTCTGTTTTAAAAATCATTTTCTACACCTATTATTTCAAGTGTTTACCTATTTTCCTTCCAGTGGGTTAAATGTTTCTATTTTAATGTTTAAATATTTGATCTATTTTGATTTTAGTATAGTGCATTGTGAGAAATATGGGACCTGCTTCAAACTTTTGCAAACAGATGCCAATTTTCCCAGTGCCATTTGTTGAATAGGCTTTCATCCAACACATGCTTTTGGCCCCTTTTCAAAGATTAGATGGCTGGATGTGTCTGGGAGGGTTTCTATGTCCTCCATTCTACTCCATTGATAAACAAGTCTATGTCAGTGCTGTGCCAAACAAACACTTTCTGATTATTTATAGAACACATCCTACTTCACTAAATTCTACAGGTTCCTGTATTTTCTATACCTTCATAGAGTGATGGGGACAGAAGAGTTCCTTTTCAGTTATACTTCTAGGAATATATTTGAATCAAAGTATTATAATCCTCAAAGAGAGTTTTACTCTCACCTAGTCTGATGCTATGTTTTCTATAGACAAGGGAAATAAGGCTCAGATGTGATTTTCAAAAATCATACACTGAAAATCACAAATAAAGTTTCATTTTTCCTTTTGTTAGGATACCTTTCAGTACATATCATATTTCCATCTACCCACGATCCAAACTATTCATCCATCCAAAAAGCCATCCATCCATCCATCCATCTTTGCATCTTTTCATCATTTCATTTATCCTTGAAACCGTTCTTCCAAATATCCATCCATCGGCCCTTTCATATTTCCATTCATCAGTCCATCCATTCATCCATCCTTCCATTTGTTCATCCCTCCTTCCATCTCTTCTTCTATTTTCCTCCTATCCTCCCTCACTCCTTCCTTTCTTCCCCTCCTCCCTTCCATATAGCCTTGTATGCTTTCATCTATCCACCCATCAGTCAGTCCTACCATCCTTTCATTTGTTCATCTGCCCATTTAGCCTTCTATCTTTCCATTCATCCTTCTTTCCATCCATCTGTCTCTTCATTCATCATTCCATTCATTCTTTCATCCATCTTTTCATCCATCTTTCCACTCTTCCCTTCATGTTTTCATCCATCCATCCATCATCCACCCATCTTCCTATCCATCCTTTCAGCTAACTTTACATCTATCTATCCTTCTATCATTCTTCCCACCTTGCTTTCTTCCCTCCCTTCCTTTCTTCTCTACCTTCCCTCTTCCCATAATTCCTCCTTTCCTTCCATTCTTCCATACTTTCATCCATCTATTCAGCCAGCCAGTCTATTGATGCCATTTTTTAGTTCAAACAATGATATTCAGGGCCAGGGATTTAGCTCAGTACTTCCACTGCCTGCCTCACCAGCACAAGGTCCCGAGTTTGATTCCTGTACCAAAATAAACAAACAAACAAACAAAAAACAATGATATTAAGATCATAGGTGAAACAATAAAACAAATCCTATAGTTCAGTCATCTTAATTCTGTTTATTTCTTTTCTTTTAGATGCCTAAATAAGATGTGCTGGATTTCCAGAAATGTGCTACAAATGCTGTTGCTTAGACATCTCAGTGCACCTGGTACTTGTAGCTTTTCTCTTTTCTGTGGAACTCAGTGCTCCTTGACCTTGACTACGAATGGCTCTTCAGTTCCTTCATCAGCCCCAAGTCCAAGTGCCTTCAGATGACAACCATGAAAGGAACCCAAAGATGCACATCCAACCTTCCACCGGAAAACAGTTTGATGATGAAAGATATTTTATATGGAGTGAAAACTGGGCATGAAATTGCATTCCTTTTGCTTGTTTGTTTCAAAAGGTTGATGTTTACATATGAAATGTAATTACTTATTGTATTTATGTGTATATGAAGTTGAGGGGAATATTGTGCATAAGCCATTATTATAAATTAAGCATGAAAAATATTGCTCAACTACTTTCAGTGCTTAATGTTTTCACTATTCTTGGATTAGTGCTATTTTATAATAACACCCAAGTCCTGTCAGGTCAACCATAAGGAAGAGCCGAGTAGAGTTTGAAATAATGCCACAGCAAGGACGAGGGTAGGAAATAATTATCATGTGAGTCTGGCCCAATAGGGAATGATGGGAGATGTAAACTGACTAACTGGAACAAAGAAAATAGTGAGAAAATTAACAGAATGCCCTTCCCCTTTTTCCTCTCGTCAAGCAATGGAAGGCTCATGTTTGGTAGAGATGGAGTTCTATTAGAGAAAATATCCTACAAAGTGGACCTCTTGTGGCCCTGCTGTGGGCTTGGTGCAGCCTCGGAGTGAAGGCAAGCAAGTGACAAGGTTTTGTCTCAGCTGGCGGCTCCTGTGGGGAGGGCTGCAAACATTCCTGGCTGCAGACCTCTGGCTCTGTGTAGTCATCTCAGTGATGCTTGCTTTGGGCTTCTTTCCTGATCTCAGTTCCTGGAGAGCAGCCAACCTGATAAATGAGGCTTTGGCAACTATGAAAAAGTTGCTTTTACTTAATTCAGTAACACATTTCACTAAGGTTCCAGTTATAAGTGTTTTGTTAATATTTATTTAAAGAATAGAGAATGCAGCTTCACTCACCAATAACTTACTTTAAACATGCCAAGTAACACATATGTAGTGTAATTTTTAGAAATAAATATATAACAAGGATATAATAATATGAAAATATAGTTACAGCAAAATATCTGCCTGTTGAAACACAAGGCTTTATAATATTATATTGCCATGATAAAATGTGCTGTAAGATGTAATAGGGCAAATAAATAATAATGAAGAATTCATAATGGAACCTTAATATATTCTGTTGCTGGTGATTTTAGTTCAATTTTTTCATTGTTATCTATCTGCTGTATATAGTTTTTAATTTTGAGAGCTGAAGAACAATCAGCATTTGGCCTTGCAGGCACATCCAACAATCAGTTACACAGTAACAGACTCAAGTTTGGCTTAATTCTGGCTTGAAGCTGCATGGTGTGCAGGAGATTTTAGTTTCTCCCATTCCACATGGAGGGTTCGTGGGTTAGTGGAAGTTGTCTCTACTGTCTGACATGGGACAAATCTCTTCTCTCTGTTAATTGCAATAGCATTTCTATGTCAAATAGAAAGAATTTATAACTTGTCTTAATTTACATAGTATTTCATTTTGATGCAGTTATTTTTGTTGCTTCCTTTGAGGTTGGTCCTCTTTTGTCTTGCTGCACTTTTCATTTTTGTGGAACTGTATTCCCAGAACCAGCAAGGGGTAGGGAAGCTTCATTAAATGTGACAATTGTGAAGAGTGTGTAGGCTTCTGTTTTGGGGGCGTTTGGTCCAACAGTACAATGGGGATGATGATGTGAATACTTAGAATGTACCATAATTTTTTGTAAATTATTTATGTTTTTTAACAAGGTTCTCATTTAGCTGAATGAAACTTTGTTTTGCCAAAGATTGTTAATATTTATTTATTTGTTCACGTGGTCAAAATTTCACCACTGAGACCCTGAATTTAGCTAGAGCTTCATTTTTATACTTTGAAGATTAATACAGGAAATAAATTATGAAAAGGTTTTCTATAAATGAATCTCTCTCCCTTTTTTGAAAAGAATTAGCAGGGTTTCTGCTGGGGGGAAGGGAGAAAACTCTGAATGGAGAGAACTGAAATTTTGCCCCCTGAAAGGTCCCAAGCAGGCCTCTTGGTTACTGATTCTCTCCCACCCCTAGGCTGAGAACAAGTGGAGGCCTTGAGAGAGCAGCTCTGTTGTCTGGGTCTCTGCTGCCAAGGGCCTTGCTGTGTGCTTGACACCATCCTTAGGGAATTCCCACTCCTGGGTGCCTACTGTCAGACAGGGGAGCAGGCTCTTGTTGTGAATCTGGCAGGCATCTCTGCTGCAATCCTGCAGGCAGGCAGAGAGAGCAAGGCCTCTGCTAGCTCTGCCGCACCAAGGTATGTCAGATAGGGTGCAGCTCAGACTTTTCTGCTGCACCAAACCAACAGCCCCCGGGAGGAGGAGGCAGGGAGGGTAGCAGCAGTCCCAGCTGACCTGAGATCTCTGAGGGTTATGGCAAGTCAAGCACAAGGGACCAAAAAAAGAGTGGAAGGCAAAGGGAGAGAAGCAGAATGAGCGGGGGGAGAGAAAGAGAGGGGGAGCAGGGAGAGAACATGTATCTGACTACAGTCAGCTGGGGTGGTCAGACTGGGCAGCAATGGATGCAGAAGCCTTCTAGGGTGACAGGATGTGACCTGAAGGTACTGGCAAGGGTCCAAATGGTGGAATAGGTCTCTGGTTCCTGAGCAGGAGGGAAGCAGAGAGCTCATACACCCTGCATATATGAGGGAAACTCTGAGAAGCTTAGAAATGAAATACCAAGGGACCAAGGGCTGTGATTCTGGCTGGACTGTGGGGAGCTACTTCAGGAAGCTTAATTTGTATTTTATTCAGGAAACAAAAACACTTTCATTATGCTAATAGTACTCAGCAGCTGGGCATTAACAGAGATGCAGAGTTCTCATACATGCAGAGTTTTTCCCACATCAGGTCCTTTGTGGGCACACAGACACATCCTGGCATTCTGACAGCCCTGAGCACATCAGTTGCATGTCCAGGATGAATATCCACTGTCTCAGTGACCTGCTTGGGCATGAGGTACCCTGGAAGCTGCCAGTTATGGGAGAGAAAGACTGCGTGTGGCTCCACTTCCTGCTGCCCATGGTCACCGTGCATCACCCACACACCTTGGATCTGTGGCCGGCTGAGGACTGCAGCAGAGAGGAGGCTGGAGATGCAGGAACAATGGCATTCAAGACAGTCTGGAACCAGTGCAGTACCATGGCCAGTTGAGGTAGAGGTTCCAGAGCAGAGTCATAACCTTCATCGTCTCTCCTGGCTCCTGATTCTCCCAGCTGTGGCCAAAGTGGATTTTCTGTGATTTCTGAAGGTTTTAGAAGCTCAGACAGGTTTTTCTAGGTTAATTTGAATTTAGGGGAGTTTTTGGCTCTGGGGGAAGAGTGATCCTGGGTTTATAGGGAGTTGGTGTTGGAGATGTAGGCCATTTTTCATCAATGAGCCATGAAGATCTGGAGATGGAAATGGTGACAGCTAAACAGGATGAGGGTGCTCGGGGGAGGCACCAGTGTTTATGTGGATTCTGACAAGCTGGGACCCTGGGGAACACCTGGAGAGGACACTGCTGCCTCTCTAGGGAACCATGCCACTTCAGGGAAGTGAGCTTGGCAGGGCACTGGGTTGGAATGAGAGCAGCTTCACTCCCAGCACCCAGATGTCTATGCCCTTGCTCACATGGTGGCAAGGTCTGCCCTTGGCCCCTTCTTGACCTTGCCCCACATGAGTCCACACAAGGTCCTCTTGGTCACAGCAAAGGCGATGGTAGCCATGGCAGCACTGTCATTCACAGGCTTCCCTCAGGAACTCACCTTCTGCCCATTCCATTGCTTGATGCCTTTTGCCACTGTTCAGGTTATCATTTTATGCTTTAATGGCTTTTTCACCCCCCAAACACACCAAATGCATTATGAAAAGGGTTACTTTGACATTTTGGCTTCCAGCAAAGATGGACTTCACACAGGCCTGGGCTCCAAAGCTCCAGTCAGACTCCTAGAGATTGGAGTTAAGCTACATGGCTAGTGGACGGACTCAGGATGTGGCCCTGGTGCACTTTTCCTTGGGGCTGTGAAGTGTTCCTTGCCACTTGCACACAGCTCTGGCTCTAACACACCCTCAGTCTCTCTGAGGGTGGTGAGAGATGGTACCTGGGTGTATGTTAGCGCTTAGATCTAGAATGCCTCCCCCCACCCCGAAGCTCAGGTATTCAGAGGTGGGGCCTTTGGAAGGTGATTGGATTAGGGAGCACTGTACTCTTCAGTGGATCCATCCATGGGTTCAGAGCTGAGTGTACTCTTAGGGGGTGGGGCCAGACAGAAGAGGTGGGGCAGGACCTGGAAGGGTGTATACCCCTCCTTAGCTCTGCCCTTCTCTCTCCTCTTCCTGGCTGCCATGACGAGAGTATTGTGAGTAACAAGGGGAAAGTGACTAAGATATTGCATTTGTTCAGTTTTCTGGCTGGTAATTCTATTGCTTCCATTGTTTTTCACAGGCTCCATGACCTGAAAATATCAGACACAATTATGTTGGACAGGCTGCCTCTTGAGATACTATAGCACATAACCTATGTACACATGTGTGTGCCTATGTGTGCTGTGCTGCATGCATGTGAATGTATGCACATGCACATGTATGTGTGTGGATCTGTGCTTAAACATGTACATGTGTGTGTGCATGTGTGTGCACCTGAAAACTTGCATGTGTGTATTTGATAAGTAAAGACTGCATGCTCTCACCCTGAGGAGGCACCACATGCAATATACCAAAACTGGCATGCCAAGGGGTCATCTGGACCTTTTGATGAGTAATCTCATCCTTTTGCCAGTTCAGAGTTTGGAAGCTGATCTTTTCTGCCAGAATAATCATGCTTTTCTTGGTAGGAAATAAGGAGTGTTAATGTCCAAACTGGCCTTTGGGATGGAGTGTGACTGGCCAGGGCCTGCAGAATGCTTGGTAGGATTGGTGATGGTGTAGCCCTCTGCCTCCTGCCTGCCTCCTGCTCCAATCTTGGAGGAGGGTGGGAGCTTTTGGCCTCATGGAAGAGCAAGGTCAGGTCCACCGGGAGAATGTAATTCTTCCCCTGGAACTCTGGTGTGTCTAAGCATGGTGCCCTCACTTCACCCCACATGCAGCCCTATGCTTTTCATCTGGAAAGGGATGGGTGCAGGAGCAGGTGATGGAGGTCATGTGAGCTCTCGGCACTCAACTTCCTCCCTGTTGAGGAGAGCTGCTCGTTGGAGCACTGCCCAGCCATTTCCTTGTTAAAATGGCATGATGGGCGGGGGCAGGGGTTTAGCTCAGTGGTTTCACCCCCTGCTGCACAAGCACAAGGACCCGAGTTCGATCCCCGGTACCAAAAAACAGGGCATGATGTGTCTGGAGCAGAGCCGTTACTGGCTATCTACCCCTGGAAAATTTCCGGCCCATTCTGAACTCCATTTTCCTCATCTACCACATACATAGCAGAAATGACATATCTCTCAAGGGGATTGTTGTGAGAATTGTCTGAAATTAGCAATAAAATAAATTAAGCTATTAATTTGAGATATTTTGGAGTAGACAGAAGACAAAAAATGAAAAAAATGGTGGCTTGAAAGAGAGGAAGGCAAATAGAAGACAGGAGACATTACATAGAAACATACAGAGAAAAGGGAAAATTTGGAAGACAGAGATGGAAAGATAAAAATGGAAAAAGAGGAAGACTGGATTAAAAACAAGAACTGGATGTGCCTGTGAGACTCTGGAAAGACACTTCTCCACTGGAATCAGAAGAAAGGATAGGGTTGAGGGAAACTGAGGCAGAAGGTGATGAGGAGCTGCCCACACTTTTTACTCTGACTCATAAATTGATAAAGATGCAGCAACAAAATACCTAGGAATAACAACTTGAGGAGGAGAGGTTTTCTTGGCTCATGGTTTGAGAGGTTTCAGTCCATGGGCATCTGCTTATAAGGCAGAAAGAAGAGCTGCTCAACTCCTGGTGTCCAAGGAGGAGGGAGAGAGAGAGAGAGAGAGAGAGACAGACAGACAGACAGAGAGAGAAACTGCAAGAGGCTGTGCACAACATATGTTCTTTGAAGCCACATCCCCGTGAGCCTCCTCCTCATTGAGCTATGATTTCACCAATGAATTAATACACTGATGAAGTTAGAGACCTCATGATCCTATCATTTTCCAAAGCCTATCAACAGCAAGCTTTTAACACAATGTCCTTTATTGGGGATATTTTGGATCCCAAGTATAACAGAGACTGTGAAAAGGGAGAGGACTTGGGATTTGGACTAGGCACCAAAGAAGATGCTAAGAGGCTGAGCATGCTTCTCTTGAGAGGCAGGTGGGGAAGGCAGACAGAAGCTGCATGGGCTATTTCCTTGTGATCCGCTCGGGCAGTTGTGCAGTCAGTAGGCAAGTGTGGTGCTATCTCGACCAAGTTGATGCACAGAGATAAAAGGTCCTTCCCACTCCTCAAAGACAGGTCCTTCAGGTCCAGGGTCCACCTGACTGGCCAAGGACAATACTGCCACACATTTACCACACTCACAGGTTTGGGAAATAACCTATGGTCTTAAAGGGGAAAACCAGCCTCCATTAGTAATGTTATATCTCAATATCTACAAACCTGGGGTTGAGAGAAGAGAGAGGACAAACACGTCCATGGATGGGACATGAAAGGG